ATCGCTTCTTAGAGTGATCCTTACATCTAAATTTCGGTAGAAGTTAATGAATTTCATAAGGAGGCCTTTAATGAGAGGAGGATATTTATAAAAAGAAATAGTAATTTTCAATTATTTGGTAATTATGTATGATAAGAAGATATAAATGAGAAGAAAAGAGACTTCATGAATATGTTCCCAATACATAAGCTGTCTACAAATCATATTTAAGAGATTCATCGCCATTGCCAATACATGTAGTTGAGATAATTATTAACAAGAACTATTAATCTGAATGACGTTTCTGTCTCTTCTCTTAAATTATGAAGATTGAGAGTGTGTACATATGAAAAGAGCGGGTAGTACTTCGTACATGCAATAGTGATCATGTAAAAGGTGGAATTTTCCTGAAAATATCGTAAGAAGACTATTAATAATAAGAAGTATATGGAACGATGAAAGGAAAAAAATGTCTATGGTATTGTTGCCATGGCCTCCCGTCTGTAATGTATTTACGGATGCTAACATAACCGTATTGTGTCAGAAAAGAAACGTCACCTAATGTTTGTTTAGGCAATATAACAATTATTTTTTAAGCGTACTCCATTGTATATGCAATACCATCATGTGTGACTAAAATAACTTTCGAAAGCTTCATTATTATTCCTTATGAGTTATTTGAAGCCAAATTGTTCATGAAGATGCCTAGTGATTAGGTAACTTCCTCATATACGTATTTCTGAGATTTTTATATTTCCACTTGGATTTCATTAATGAAATCTGTGGATCATGAAACCATGGTCAAATTTCAGGTAGGCACTGATTTTTTTTAATCATTTTTGTCCTAATTAAGATTTTATTCGAAACTGTTCTTGTTCTATGAACCATAGAATGGAAAATAAATACTATGACTTCGGTTCCATGTGCTGCGAACCTATATTTTGAAGAATTCTGCGGTAACATGGAATCCTTTTCATCTCATGTATCGAATTCATGGTAATATTTGTATAAAGGCAAATAAGCATCGAAATGGTCACTGATCGCTAGGAAATCCATGAGTCTCCGAGGTGCCTCTCCAGTTTAATCGTTAATTGGATTTGTAGATGTCGTATAATATGTGCCCAGCGCATTCATTACCTTGCGGTGTAGAATGACATATTTGTGTGTATAATATTTCCAACGATTGGGCCTTTTGAGTAATGTCCTGATAACTGTAAAAGACATGTTATTTATATTCAGGTTAGAGTTGCATACACTTGCGGGGATATATGAATAAAGTTAAAAGTGCATAAATAATTTTATGAGTGAATGTATTATTCATATGCTTTGATATTCGTTCTGTTGCAGAATGGACATACGAGGTATAGTACACAGGGGAAGTTGTTAATAATACTCCTTATGGCTAGGTTCCTAGTCGTATTGTCCAATATACGGAGACTTGATAGCTTTGAGATTTGCATCGAGTATAAGCTAGATTCTGCTGTTGTGTCATACACGAATGTGCCGCCTGATCGTTTCAGACTGTTAAATTAAGAATTAGGTGTACCATAAGGAATCCCCTTCGCTAGCCGTATGTAATATGAATTGTCTGTTACCTTTATATTTTGTGAAGTGTGATTTGTACTTCTTCCTTCTTTTAGGGGAGAAGGTGATTTCGTCATTGTGAACCTCCAAGTACAAAGTAGAAATTGATAAAGGGGGCAATATACAGAGCAAAGTTCCTTACGATAAGTGGTGATTCCTCTAGCAATCTTGCAAAATGAATAAATAATTGCCGAAAACTCCTGATAACAATATGTGACAATTATAATGAATCATTCGAAGAATGTGCTTAGCGTGATTTCTCTGCAGTGGGGCGGCTGAGATATGTAAGATTTACGTATAAATATCTAGCGTAAATATCTCAATAGCTGGTAACTCTTCTTTTGTCTCCTCTTTTTGATACATTTTGCAATATTAGACACATCCTTCATTAATGTGTATTCATTGCAGTGTGAAACTATGATGGCGGAGTGGAAACACAAGTAAGGAGCCATGTTTTTCCAGAATACATGATTCCCTCAAGTCAGAAACCAACTGTCGAAAACATTTCTGCTAATTATTCAATTAATAATTTACTCAGGAAATGAGTAGTTATCTCTTATTATGATGGGGGACTCACTCGTGTTAATCTGATATCTTCTGAGAGAACCATACCCCCATGAGTATTGAGTTTTAAAATGAGCTGTGGATCCTATGCCAATCCTAATGCAATCGTTGAATCTGTTGCTACATGAATTTAATATTAATTAGGAAGCACGTTAATTCTGAATAGAAGGATTAATGGAATCGAATTAAGTATAGGTGTGAATAATAAGAGTTAAGCATTCTTCAGTGTACAATAGAATGATGAGAAGACAGAATATTGCAGTAATTATATTTAACGATTCCTCTTGACCGGTTACACAACCCGTTCGCTACTGGGAATATGCTAACGCGGTTTGATTAATTTTGTCCAGAGGATTACCTATTATGGGCAAAACTTAACAGGGAGAAGAACAGAGAAATATTAGTTTTACCTCCGTATATAAGGCAGCATAGCGTACAGCACAATCAATGTATATCAATCAAAACCAAACATGAATCAACAGGCAACGAGCACAATAATGATGCACCATTTGGTTGTGATTACCCCCAGATATATATAATACAAGAGGGGACAAAATTAGTGAAGGAGTTGTGGGGGTAATTATAATATATTACAACAATTACATCATAGAGATTAGGAGAAGATTCCAGTATTGAATCCTGAAGAGAAATTAAGAATAACAGATATGTGTGAGTATAACCGACTTTTCCATTCTCCATATCATGAATTATAGTAACCTAAGAAAGGAAGATATGGCATTCGTGATTTCGAGGTGTTAAGGGAACCTACATTATGGATATGAACTGAGGATGCATCGATTCCGAGATGCATAGGGAGGATGTTGGCGGCAAAGATACAGACACTTTACATGCCTCTAGACATTGATACCATTTATTGATAACAACCTATGTGTTCTTGACCTCTTTACACCTGACCATGGAACATATACCCATTGATATACCTATATGTATATTTATTCCCTTCTATATGTGGGATTAATTGATGAGTCATAAAAGTAAGGAGTGTTAACCTGGTGAGTTATGATGCCCCTCTGGCGTGATACAGGAGAGTGCTACACAAAAACACCACCAGAACGGAAAAGAATAGTACGGATGGTTGAACATCTTTAAGCACAGGGAAAACGTAATTACCAGTATATGCTGATTCAAATTAGAAGATTGTTCATTCGGCATAAAGAGGTGCTCCCTTAAATTAAATAGTTGTTCATGAGGGGTTTCATCTATGCATATATAAAGGGAGTATTGGATTGTTGAATTCGAACTGGTATAATATGAGTTGTAACCTCATATTGAACTTTAATTGTATGTTGCATAGGATTAGAAGGGCTGCATTAGCGTATAAATGTGTTTATGCCTTTCTGTGGAAACCCTTATGAGTGCAATGGATTAAAGATATGCTGATGCAATGAGTACAAACTGAAATGGTGGGCGGTCGTGTTTATATGGCTTCTTTTATAGTTACCTTATTTCTGTGAATGGGTCCTCATGCCCCATCCTTTTTGTTAGTGTGTTTTTTGATGTTTCGATATATTCACCAGTATCCCCCCGCATGTTGCATTATTCCTATCTATTCTTTCTCATGTTTCAGCATTTTTATGAGAGTATTTTTTTCATGGCGCTCCTCTCTTATATATGCGTGTTTATGTGGGCGAATTTTTCGAACGTGGTTTCACCTGGGATAATTTTCGCGGACGCTGTTTCATACTGCGTAATTCCTCGCGCACGCCTTTCCATGTGCCCTAATTTGTCCACGACGTAGCTTCATGTGTTTTAACCTAGTCAGAGTTGTTTCATGTGGATCAATTTTTGGGGGGGCCCCCTCATGTTCTATATCTGTCGTAGGCAAGCTGTTTCGTTTCGCTTCATTATATATATTTCTCTATTTAATTTTCTCATGAGCATAGACTTCTCTGCAGCATTCCTTTCACGAGAATTCTTGGAGGGTTCCTTTATGATGACATCCCTCGCAGCATCCTTATGAAGATACCACTTTTGCTGGCATTCTTATGAAGATTTCTTTACCTGCCGCATTTTTATGACGATTTCTTCTGTGTCGTTTTTTCATGATGCTTTTTTTTCTACATTTTAATGATGCTCTTTGTGCGAGTCATTGCGCTGTTCTTGTCTTATGTCAATGTGATGCGTACTGTTTTGCCGCGGTAGTCTGATGCTTTCTCTCTGTTGGGCATTTTTTTAAGGATGCTTATATCTGGCATGTGACTATAATAATGCTTCTCTGTTTTACATTTCTTCACAGCTACACTGATCTTGTTGCGTCAATATGAACATGTTTCTGTGGGTAGTATTTTTTTCAGGATGATATCTCCTGTTCCATCTTTATGAAGTTCTCTTTTTTCATGGTGCGTCAATGTGAGGTGTATTTTCCCTGTAGGCCATCCATTCTTGCAAGATCCATTTTACCGCGCTGTACTTGTAATATATTTTCTGGCTCGTCCTTTTTATAGGGACGGCTTGTTTCGCCGTGTCACTATTAAGATTCCTGATTGCCCTTCATTTCCTTCCTCACGATATTTCTCTCTTCGGGTGCCATGATGAGTTTGCCTGTGCCACGCCATTATGAGAATTCTTCTTGGTGTGGCATTTCTCTTACGAAGATTCTCCTTACCACGTTAGATCGAGGATACTTCCCTGTTTGACTCTTCTATAAAGATGCTTTTTTTATTTATGATGTTACGGCGAAGGAATTTTTCTGCGAGGCATCTTTTTTATGAAGATACATGTTCTCAGCCCCATTCGGATGATCCTCCTCTCCTGCGGTATTTTGAATAAATTGCTCTGTGCCATCTGCTTCATATCGATGCTCCTTCCTGCCGCGGCTTCGTCAACATGTTTCCCTGTGTGTCATTTTTTTATCATGATCTAGCCTCTTTTGCAGCCTCCTGAAGATGTCCTCTCGTTTGTGATTCCCCTATAAAGATACCCCCTTCTCGCGGCATGGTTAAGATGTTGTTCCGTTCCTTATTTTTTTTATCAAGATTCTTTCTCCTCCTGGTATGTCCTCGACGTTTTCTTCTTCTGTCCCTTTGAAGATGTTCTTTGGCCTCGATTATTGTGAAAATCTTTCTTGAGGTCACATCATTGTGAAGATGCCATTCAGGGTGCCTCATCGCTGATATGTTATACTGTATGTCATGCTTCTTCATTAGAATTCTTTCTTCCGTAATATTCTGATCCATTTAGTTCCCTTTCTTTATATGTGGAGTCATTATGAAGATATTTTCCTTCTTCGGCTATTTATGAGGATGGTCTCCTGTGTGAAGTTTAAATATCAGGACCATACCGTTCTTGTAGCCTTACGGAACAGGAATAATATACGGAATTGTGAAGGGCCACTTTTATCCCTTACGTATTATTGCTTTACAAGTGATGATGTCCATGGAGTAGTGTTAAGTGAATAGCAGTGTCACCCGGATAACACTGTTAACCGAAGTTCAGAGTTGTGTCAGGGGTACGGGTCCCATGGAGGGTTATTGTAGGGAGCTTACTCACGTGTCCGTAGTACTCATATGTCCAAAGTACTGACATGGTTTTCGCTTCGCTACATGAAGAGGAGAACCCCAGCTGGGGTACTCTTGCTTGCAGAATAGTGATGTGCATTTCTAAGGGTGGTGCAGCGTGGGAATGTAAGTATAATACTGTTATAGGAAGGGTATTGATGTGCATGTAGTATTTTATGCGAAGGATTCAGAATTTACGCCTCCATTATATGAGAAACATTATTCTATGAAGTATATGGATATTTCACGAAAGATATTGCGTGAACATTATTGATGTGTCAAGATTTTCGATGGTCAAGAGTGCAGAGGTTCCCATACTACCGTTATATGAAAGTACTAATGGTTGAGCTATATGGAGGAGTCGGAGTGCTATTATACTAAAAGTATCATTACGTGCGACGTCCTGTGGCGGGATCAGTACGATTATACTGAGAGGACTATTATTTAAACAGTCCGAGTGTGCAAGGAGTATTGTTATATTAAGAGTAGTTTTTTGAGAATAATACTTTTAATTGAAGAGCACTACTTTTATGTATGGACTGCTGTACCATGTTGAGTAAGACTATCCCCGGAATAGCATTATGTGAAGTGTCTCGATATAAGCTTAACGGCTCCATTATATGAAGTACAGGATTGTACAAATCCTGTGGATTTACTGGAATACTATTCTTTGAAGAATATTGCGACGCACAGAGTACTATGATGTTAAGAGTACTTTTGTCTGTGCGATATTGACATTCGAGGACTGGTATTATTAGTCCGGCACTATTTTGTGAAGTGCATGAATATCCCAGGGAAATTATTGCCTGAAGAATACAGATGTGTATTCATTTCAAATAATGAAAATTGTGGAAGTTCCCGTAGTACTGTTATATGAATGTATTAATGGATGAACTATAGTGATATTTGCAAAGTACGGTTAATTGTACAGCACAGTCGCATAAGAATAATGGATCATCTGGAACTATATTCTGTGAGCCATCTCCCGTGTGGGTAGTATTCTTATTTGCAAAGCACAATTGTGCAATGATAATGCATGTCTCCGAATAACTATTATTTAAAGCGTTTCGATATACCCAAACTGCTTATCTATGGGGAGCCCTATTCTATTAACCGTAGGAATATACGAGTAGTAGTATATAATAAGTTAGAAGTATATGCCCCGAATATTACTATGGGGGGGATAGAAGATTGAACGCCTTGTTATTTGAATAAAACCATTCTTCATACAACACTGATGTTTTTTCATTTGCTATACCTTATCATTTAAAGGGTTAGAATCCTGGCTGTAATATAATGACATAACAGTTTTAGGAAGTCCTTTGATGTATCTGCAGTAGCATTCTTTTTGGAAAAGCGGTATCCTAAAAGTAGTATTATATGCAGAGTACTGTCCTCCCTAGAATATCATTGGTGTCCATAACATTAATGTTACCATGATATCTTTGACAAGAGAATACGTATATGCCTAAGATACAAACCACTTATCTTTTAAGGAAGGGGAGATGAAAAAAAAGAAGTAGAACAAGTGCCTAAAATGAAGTTTATACATTGAGGGTACTGCGACATTGAGGACAATTCTCCATTTCAGGAGAAAAATAAATATATAGAGTAAAATCATATAAATTACTTAAAAGTATCGGCAGATATAAACCTGAAGCTGAAAGGAAACATGCACGGGAGAAGTAGTCCCATATAACCAAAAGAGACAAAGGTAACTTAACAAATAAGAGTACGTAAAGCAATGTTAAAAGAGAAGGAATCAGCCCAGAAGAAGGGAAGTAGGAACGGCAAAGAACAGTTATAGTAACATATGAGGTGGGATATTCACCGGGCCCAATACTACATCAAATAAGAGAAGGGTTGATTGCAAACATTCGTGTGCCAAAATACACGCGATTATTCGCGGTTAGCGATAAACATATATAAGTACGAAATCTGTTACATATATTAATTGGTGTTCTAAATTTTTTCTTGTTTGTATTGAGCGTTATGGCTTGAAGTACAAACTCTACAATTTTATTTGTTGCCCCAGGATGTGATATCCTATGATACCCTTTGTGAGTTTATAAATGAAAATATATAATTGTTTAAAATAGATTTATTTCTTCTTTGAAGTTTCAGAAGCTTCCTTAAAACCTATTTTGTTTTTGTAAAAATATAACATACTTTCTGATGTAGATTCTGGAACAGTTACGAAATTCGTTGTCTCTACGGTTAGCATAGAGGTGTCCCTTTTTGTCGTATCCCACATCGTAATCATAAGAGATCTATGTTGACTGCATGGGTCACTACTGGTCAAGGGTCTAACATGAAAGCTCTGTTCTTACGTGTATATTCTGTGTTGCCCTGATTTCGAATATAAGAATTCAAATTCTTTGGATCGCAATACTCACAAGACTTTTATTTTACTTCTTTCTATTCCATTGCAAAGTATGAGCAAAGTGGCTATGAGAATAACCTCTTAATTTTGAGGAGTCCTCCCCCCTTTTATATATAGCAGTATTTTGGCAATGGGAAGATTCATTGAGAATGAATAAAAGCAATAAGCCGCCCTTTTACTCATGTAATGTGTGGATAAGTTGCACCAGAGTGTTATATATAAATCCACGGTTCATGACATAAGAATCCCGCGTAAACCATCCTGTTAGAGAAAAATATGCCCCGAGGAGGAAATTATATATGGATTTAAGAAGCACGGGTTTAACTCAAAATGGAAAAAGGGGAAAGTAACGGTTATTCGTAAATAGAATGAAACCTAGGGAAGAATATAAGGAACAAGAAACGGGCAGAATGTAGAGGAAAAATATAAAGGTGGGGAGCCTACCCATAAGCCTTGAGCGCCCCCATACACGAATACCCGAAGAAACAAGTGCATCTTCAGACGTGAGACTACATTTAGAAGAGGTGCGAAGATTGGAATGTGAGCTGAACATATGTTTTTTTAAGGAATTATTCAAAACTGAAATTCGTATTTCACTAAATTTAATCAAGAATCCAAACTATCATACTTTAAATTGAGAGTTTTCATCAAAGGCAACTAAGCGTACTCTACAGTATATGTTGACAGCCTCCAAGCTGCGTATCAACCCGAATGTATTGTTCCCTTCCGGCAAAGTAGAATTATTCTGAAGCCACAGAATATGGAATTAGTCAGATCCGCGAAAAGTTCGAAAGTTAAGGATCATAGGTGAGTTGACAAGACTTTAATATTCGCGGGCTTTATTAAGAGCAATACTGAACACCTTCTCTGGTACCATTTATGACTTGTAACAAGTCTTATTCCCGAACAATCCTGTAAGAAATATTTAAAACTCCCGCCCATAGCATAGCAAGAGCTAGGTTGGAATAGTATGAACTGCTATACTCTATATATCTAATAGCCTACACCGGCAGACTGATTTAGTTGTGAACTGGAAGATGTGGAAAATTATCCCCACCTCACTTTATCAAAATTACTATAAACAACAAACTTGATCACTACAAATCCTTACGATTCCGTCACTGTCTCCCAAGAATAATCCCTCCAGAGTGTAATTAATGTGATAGGAATATTCTTCTCTATCACTAAAGTAATAGTCCTAAGAAATATATCATCTCCTTAAGGAATAACATATCTATGGATTAAGCTAAAAGATAACTCTGGGCATGTTACGAGGGTATGGAATTTTTTTATTTATTTTTTACACGTATTAAAAGAGGGTTCATTTCCTATTTAATCTCAGCTTCCCATCTTGTTCTTTCATTTTAACTTTAAAAAATCAGCAAAAGAGTATATTACCTACAAGATCCCTTATTCTTTAGGATTGATTAACAGGAAAAAACTAATATAACAGAAATCCAGGAAGATTTTATCGGAATAGTGAATGATTGGATTTATTCCGATTATTTTTTTATTCCTTTCTCTCGTTCGGCTAATATTTAAGCACGAAGAATAAGGAGAAGGAAGATCTACAATTATACGTCCTTTTCTAGTCCAGGAAATAAGAATCTCGTGATATATTTCCTATGATGCCCACCGTATTAAATAATGAAATCATTATAAGAGGTATAATTAGTTCTTTATCAGAGGATATAATGGTATATCCCTCATATTATGAAATCACCAATCTATAATAACGAGATTAAAAATATTAAAGTAAAAGAAAAAAGACTGGTATAACCAGAGCCCCAGCAAATTCATGTCTCTACGACCCCATAAGTATTATATGATATAAATGTACATTAATAATTAGTAAGATTCTAAACTTAATAGATAGACCAGAAAAATTGCCTAAAGTTCTATCCTAATCTGGATTAGCTTTCCAATAGTGCCTAGAGGCCGGCCCGAAATCACAGCGGCCAAAACCATGTAATTAGGTTACTAAAATAATAAATGTGGAATGATTGTCAAGATCAACCGAGAACTGGGCATGATTAGTTCCTACCCAAGCAATTATAGATTATAGAAAAAAATATAGAAGGAATATTTAGTCATTAACCCTCTTTTTCCCCTCGTAAACACCTCCACTATATAAGGAGTCGTCTATATGAGTTCCTCAAGTAAATCTGATAATCACCTGCCCTTAGCAAATTACTTAAAATCTCTTTTGAAGGAAGAACAACAGGCAAGCCAAACGTCGGACCGCCTTATGTGGTACCCCACCCCATCCTGAAAAGATATTAATCTGTCCTATACCCTATATGAAGAGATGAAAAAACTGTTTAGTTTATATAGGAAGAGGCGAAGTAATAAGGGAATAAATATATAAGCTAAATGAAAGGTAAAAAGAAGACTCAAAAGAACCAACAATTTGAGTGGTTTCGCCAACAACAAGCCAACCACAGCCAAATCAATATAAACAGCTTAAAGCAGTTCAGCAACAACAGACCTAATAAGCAGGAGCCATAATAGATAAGAATATAATGTAAGTATTACAGACGCCCTCAAAGACAAAATTATACCGCTATTTCAGCCGGGGGAAACTAAAGGTCCATTGCAATATATAGAGACAGAAGATGACCACTAGGAAAATAGGGAAAACTCCCTTCAGAAGATACAAAAATAGAGCAGACACTTTATCCCCAGATCCTGTGAATCAGATTAGCCCTTATGTTACTTCCTGCCCCCCCCCCCCCCAAATCCTACTATTATAATCATAGAAGAGCAGAATCCGATAAACACAGACCAAGAATTCACTTCCCGATGAGGCCGAGCAAGAGAAACCTAAGGAACAAATCTAATTCATAAAAGCCAAGAAGTCAAAACGAAAGTTACAGATCCTATCCTATTAACTGAACTCTCATGAATGATGTGAACAAAATATCTCCCCTAATAATTTCGTCTTAATTGTCCAAACTCACATGAGGCATATGAAAAACCACCAACAACAAAGCAAGTTAAAGGACTAACCTCCGGCAAGCCAAGTACGAACAACCAAGAAAAGTACAGCTCCCTATCTTCAAATCAAAAACAACAATTAAGCCCCGATGACTATCTTCCTATAAGCTCCAGACAAATCAAGAATAACAGGTTGAGATTCATTGAAGTTCCACTAACCCACAAGCCTCTAACTAAGGGACATCAGGATAAGGAACAGGAAACCCCCGATCCGGAGAAGCTGGAGTATCAAAAAACACTCTGAAAAGGAGAAATATCCACAAAACAGCGAAGGAACAGTCAGACCAACAAGAAACAGAACCGCTGTCTCAAGTCCAAAAACAGCTACCATCCAACTTATTCCAAAACAGGTGAGAAATATAGGTTTAACAAAAGAGTACATCCAAAAGGAAAAAAAGAAAAGTAGCCATATGTGGAATGCAATACTTCATATACCTCAAAAGTCATTAACAAGACAAGATTGACCCTGGACGCAAGACAACAACAGCTGATGAAAGGAAGTAGGGTTACCCCAAACAACATGGAAAGTCGGCTAATCCAAATAAGGCTTCACAGCCCGGACGTCCCACCGAGGCAAATTCCGTTCCTGTAGATTCGTAGGATCCCAAAGAACGTCATACTTCTCCCTACGCCTACCGGACCCAAACTGCATTTAAACAACAAATCAACCCCAAGGAAGTGACGCAACAGCATCAAACAGCAGAAGAATGATCTCGCCCCCAAAGAGACAGAAAGCCAGAAAGTAATAGTCACTAAGGGTCTGCAAAAGGAGACACCCCCTGAACCTCAGGACAACAGGAACAACCGCGACTTAGGAATGAGGGTACGTCAACCACCCCGTCACCCGTAACCCATGATCATCCAAAACGGCTCGTATCCAAAACGCGTCAGGAGAAGACGATAACGGGGCGCGGACAACTAGAAGGACGACCACCATTGAAAAGTTCTTCACTTAAGGACCATTCGCAGAGCAAAATATCTCCATAGGGAAACGAGCGGCTCAGATCCGTCGAGACCTCCCTCATGTCATATAAATGATCGAAAAGAGAACGAAGTTCTAAGTTCTGAGAAAAGCACGAAGAAGTCTACCACTGGGCCCAAAGGAAAATGAAGACAAAATGCTTCCAAGCACAAGCATAAAATTAGAAGGAATGTTCAAACCTCAAGCCCCCAGAGAAGGATCCAGCAGATTAAGCCCACCCTCTCCAAGTTATCTAAAAGTCCCCTCCTTACATCCAACGGACCTCGCCCCCAAGGACAACTTATATAGGTTCCTAGGTAAAAGAAGCATCCGCTAGCGATATAATCCTCCGTAGGTTAATTCCCCAATAACCCATAGCTCCCCAGAGGAGCCGAGGCTCATGCAGTAGTGTCTGGACTAGCTGAAAGAGGGAGTAACCACAGGAAACTCAACAGGGCTGCCCAACGAAGTTAAGGATAAGGATTTGAAAGGAACAGGCATCAGCCGAGATCCAGGAGCTCAGGAACTCATTATGAAGAACCAATCAGTCAAACTGGATCTGAGCCCCCCCGTCTAAGCTTCGCCTCCAACAAAGTAGAAGTGCGAGTTACCATACGAGAATTATAGCCTGGATGGATAGGAGCAATTTAACCAGAAAAAGAATCCAATCCCCAACAGGTAGGGACCTCAGTGACAGCAACCGACAGCAGGAGATATCGTAAGAATCCGGATGCTTAAGTCAAGGAATCACAGGATGTTCCCGGGGAGCATAGAGTATATATACGAGAGCCTTAAACTAAGAGAAAGAAACAAGCAAATAATAATTGATTCCTTTAGCAGATGGGGAAAGCCCAAATAAGTTTCGAGATACAACGGATATCGAAAAAACAGCATCGGGGCCAGCCGAAAGGAAGATTAGATCCCAGCGAGCAATCTAAGCATGACTCAAGCACGCCAAGCTACCAGGAGGGTATATCTAGGACTACATAAGTCTCTGAGATAGGGATCAGTTACCTTGTGCGTAAGGGCAGTAACAAGTCCAGGCCGCCAACGAGAAAGAAGGTGACTGGGGATCCCCTCAAACAGAACACCGAGGGGGATATCTGATGAGAGGGGGCAATGGCGGATTCTAATCTCTTAATGCAAATGAGGAGCCAGACAAATCGTAAAATGGGCTGAAGATCTGATTGGAACCTAAGGCGCGACCTTACGGACAGCTGAGCATCCTCTGAAGGGTCTTCGAAGGATTAATCGACGGAGGGACTGGTTAAGGAGGAACCTGAGAGATATCAGATCCAACAACTCGGGCCAAACTACCGTGGGACAGGTTTGGAGAAGGAGAGGAGTGCACTCCAGAGTAAAATGGCGTCGAAATATGAACACCAGAGCCACAGCTGAAAAAAAGCTATCAAGGAGAGGAAAAGATTAAAGGAATCTGGTGAGAAGGGAAGTGAAGAGGAGGCTCAGTATGGAGCAAGGGCGCTAAGGGGCAGAAGAGAGGGAGTCAAGAAGGAGGGCAACTTCCTGGAGTAGTAGATACTGGAAGAGTCATGAGCTGTCTTTTAGTATGGAGTGGAGGAGCATCAAGAATATTACAAGATGTATCCAGGCCGGACGAAGGCGAAATGACTCCGGAGGACAAGAGAAGGGAGCAGTAACTGCCAAAACGTTCGGTCCCAAAGATATTTAACCTCAGACAAGAGGACTGCAACACTCCAGGGAAGCAACCGCAGATATAGACAACAGAAGGGGGAATCAGTCCAGCAGGAATCGGCTACCATCACTCCAGTGAAGGGGGCTAGGAAGAAGGAACAGAATCACGAAGATAACAAAGAGATCCCATAAATCATGATTTATGAAGCCCCGAATAAAAGACTGACGATGAAATAGTAGCCCTCAGGACTATCTCCCCGCAGTAGTACTCTAGAGAGTCCTAAAGATACCTAGGGCAAGGGAAAAGCGGCACAGCTCAGAAGAGTTGTCCCATCACAGCAGCTTCGTCAGAGGAAGGATAAACTGCCTTCTTAAGGAGAAGGAGTCTCGAGTCAGAGAACAAATAGAGCGTCCGGAGTATATCAGCGGAGAAGCCCAAGTAAACGATCGACGAGCTGAGAAATATGGGAGCCAGGATGAGAAAGAAGTTATGATAAGGAGGAGGGGCAGGACAGTAGGTAAGCGGGTGCGAAGAGGAGGAGAGACGGGACTGAAGGCGAAGAAGTGACAGATGAGGCATCGAATTGATGTAGCAGATAGGGGGCACTCCCACACGGAGGCACAAGTATGGGGGATATTTCGCAGGACGAATAGAGCCTTCAGGCGGCTCTTCAGGATATCGTCAGGCAGGAATCCAGGGGGGTTTAGAGGGCTCGGAGAGGAAGGATAAGGACAAGGTTGAGCTCAGCTTGGTGGGATCAGGACTTGGATCCTCAAAGGGGGGGGAGAACGGACGGTCAACCTGGCCCAGCAAAAGGTAGCTGCGGGGAGGGGACCCATTATCGCGATAGGGGGAGGAGACAAATCTATTCACACTGAAGCGGCCGCGCCAAGTAGAGTTGGGGGGCAGGGGGAGAGTCACTAGAAATAGAAAATCTGACTTCAGGCAAGGAGAGACCTGAGTAATCTGATAACATGTAGGCGCTGGTTAAGGAGAGATAAGATTCGGGTATTGCATCTCTTGCAGAGGAAAGTAAATCCCTAAGCGTCCACTCCCTCAAAAGAGATGACGCCGTGAAGGTATATGAGGGGAAGGGAGTCTCATTGACCCATGTGCTGTTCATAAGTCGGAGACAAGAAGGGACCAATAAAGTATCAGACAAAGAGGACCACCTGATTGTACAACACCAGTAATCAGAGGAGGCGACCCAGTGGTTTTTAACCACATGGGCAAGCGGCCGCTAGCAGCGGGCGAAATCATAGAGATTAGGAATTGGAAGGGGCTAAAATCCAGAGCCAGGAACCTAGGACATCTCGTCCAGAGGTATCTAGGCCAGCCCCCCACTAGTTCGGAGGCGTACTCACTCGAAGTATCGAAGGGACTCACTAACCCCCAGACAGTGCAGGTCGAGGTTCCGGTAGTGGCCAGAAACTACACGAAGAGGTGGGAGTCAAGCAACAGTTAAGCCACCCGTGAAAACTATGGGAAAAATAAACCTGAAGCAGGAGAAACAATTCTGGGAAGGAACCGGAGGAGGAGGTACCGGAAATAATTGCTCAGTAGGACACAGTAGATATTGTATAGGTTCGTACGGGGGAGAGGAGGAAGCTTATGAAGGATTCATAGGAAAATGGAAGAAGGGGATAGGCTCCGCAACACGAGAAATGGATTGGAACCGCCAGACGGGGAGGCAGAGCCTCCTGGCAAGGGAGATTCTGGGGGGACAAGTGGATGAATATAAATGGAAGGGCATTTTATCATGTGTAATGTATGAAGCCCTGAACGGGAGGAGTCTAAAAGTCATGATTAACCAGAAACAACATATCCTCTGGGACAACAGACATTGGAACAGGATTTTATCTCGAGGAGTCAACAATTATTGGGCCGATAACAGTCATGGGCAAGCGATGTTGCTAGGATTAGCGTGTCTAATAAGGGCATTACTAGGATGGGACATAGACCAAATGGCAACCCGTCAGGCAACAAGGGCTCTATGTGGACCTGTCTGGGATCTCGTAGGGATAAGATTAGAAAATCCAGTGACTGGGGAAGGATCCTTAAGCGTCAAGTCACAGGATCAATTTCTGACTCTCCTAAAGGGCGAGACTGGGGGGACGGATGACCAGCTAACCAAGCTAGGCTTTCTGTCAAGTATATATTATGGGTTGACGAGCTGTTGTGATACTGCACGTCATTATGACTTGACCCCACTGATAAGAGTGAGTGGATATCAAATGCAACAGATGGGTCCGTGCACAATAGAGGGAGATTCACTACAGTGCGGAATCCACAGCAAAAGCGGGGGCTCCGGGTCGCTGAACATTTGGCGAACAGGTATCGGCACCGTCCTTCCCGAAAAATCCCTCGACACTAGTATTGGGGAAGGACCTAAGCTGAAAGTAGATCCCTCCGAAGAAGACGAAGTCAAGAGAATCCAGAGGGATTCTCTTCAAGGATCGCAACTCGTCCAAGCCTGGGTAGCTGCACAGGCACAATGCCAAGGGGGGAAAAGGGGGGGTGAAGATCGGTGTTCCAGGCAGGTCCAGGAAGCCGTAGAACAAGCGAAGAAGAAGAAGGACATGCCTACTGGGGAGCTAGAGCGTGACCGAATCAAAGCGGATAAACCCCCCAAGCCGGAGCAGGGCGCCCGCGCCCTAAGGCTCCCTGAGCAACAAGGAGGGGAAACAGCCCAGGAACTTAACAGCCAGGAACACCAAGATCTCAAAGGTCCAGCAGCCCCCAACAGGGTAGTAGCGGAGGGTTCCATACAGAAGTCTGAACCAGAGGGAAAAATCCAGGGACGAGATCTTGGCGATGATGTAGGTGACTCTAGGGAAGATGACGGAAACTCACAAATGAAGAAAGTGCAAACGACAGCATCGTCCTCCGTAGGATCAGGCCCGATAATAGGGGGGATAATGGGATTAATTTTGGCCGTAGCCAGTGTTTATGGTCTATATAGAATCTTCAGGAGGCGGGGGCGGAGCCGTGTAGAACCACCGATGCAGCTAAGTGCAGGTATCACACGAAGAGTAGCATATAGGTAGAACAGGAGACTCATGGGATCTGGAAAACACTTCCATGAAAAATGCAAGTAGGCTTCCACAGGGGGGGGGCTAGGGTCAACCCAACAACTATGTCTTTAGCTCAGGTTCAGGTGAGCGAGTGGACGATCTCTCTAGGGGGGGTCTGACCAGACGGCGGGGAATGGACGGATTACTTCAACAATCAAACCGTTGGTGCCGACGCCACTTCATTAGAAGGGAATATTAGGGGGTAGTTGGGGAGGAGACGTGACGTTCTGGGAGGAGGGGTTGGACCAATCAGGGATTAAGCCAACATTTGGAGCCCTAAGGGAAGGATAGCGGTGTGATGAGTCTGTTGAGGGGCACTGGGGTTAAACGGCGCAGCTGGCGTTTGGGCTTTAACCACTAAGTCCCCGAAGATGAGCGTCAGGTATTGGGTTCGGAGTTAAAAATCTGGGATTCCTGACTCCCCATGCGGAGTTAGGGGTTTTTGGGTTCGTGATTCGAGGGTGAGGTTCAGTTTCAGGCCTCGCGGTTCGGGGGTTAGGTTTCGGGGTTTAGGGGTTTAGGGTTAGGTTTAAGGTTCACCGTTCGGGTTTAGGGTTCAGGGTTCGGGGTTCAGCGTTAAAGCTTCAGGGTTCAAGCTTCAGGGTTCAAGCTTCAAGGGTTCAGGGTTTAGGGTTCAGGGTCTAGGGTTTAGGGTTCAGGGTTTAGGTTTAGGGTTGGGGGTTCAGGGTTTAGGGTTAGGGTTGAGGGTTCAGGCTTTAGGATTCGGGGTTCAGGGTCTGGGTTCAGGGTTCATTCCCTAATCTTCATCTCAGTTTTTTTTGTTGCGTGATCTTCGCCTTTTAGGCTTAGGTTGTCCTTGATTTCCGCTTAGGACTTATATGGGGTTTCTCACTTATCCTTTCCATTTTCTCTCTTGGCAAAAGCTTCTTTTGGTTGAGCTCAACGTCGAAGGCCGGGGTCGCCTGGGGGTTTCCCTGTCTAATCTTTATCTTTGTGAGCTCAAGCATCTAGGTCTAGGGACTACATGCAGGGGGGGACTTCCAGTTGTCAGAGTTCTGTTGTCAGGGATCTAGATTTTATAGACCCTCGGTTAAGGTGTTGTTGTTCCCTGCTATTGATTATTTTTTCCTCCTTATCGGTCATTCGTTTCGATTTGCAGGTTTGGTGTTTATTTGCTGCTGCTCAGAGGGGCGTTTGGTCGGATTGAGGGTGTAGGAGGGGGGTTGTCGCTTCAGTTGTCTGAGTTAGGTTTTATTTCCTATTTGTCCGCTTCAGGTTGAGGTCTCTTATGATTCCTATGTATTGATCAGGGAGCTGCGGCTTGGGGGTTAGATCTTGTTTTGGCGTTATTTCTTAGGTCCTATTTCTTAGTCATCTCCTTAACGGCTCCACTCTTTAGGGATGACTCTTTTGCATTTAGTGTCCAGTGTTCAGGGAGGAGGTTGTAGTCTCCGGCAGTTAGTGTTCAGGGACTTGGTTTCTGTCTTTATTCTTTCAGAGTTGTCTTTGGTGATGAGATTTCATAGGCCGCTTGGCTTTCCTTCTATTGGGGATTGTTTAAAGCTTGTGACCTGCAGTTTAGAGCTGTCCCTCTATTATTTACCTGTTAGGGTTCAGCTCCTGGATCTATTTTGTAGTTGTTACGCTCATTTTCTTTTATTGGTTCTTTCATGTTGCGAATGTACTTTTCTTTCCTTAATATTTACGCGTCACCATTTAGTATACACGTGGTAATCCTTAGTGTCCATACTTTGCTTCCCAGGGTCCCTTTCGTTGGTCGATTTCTTCTGCTCTCGCCTCCTATTAGTCGTTGTCATACCTCTTCGGCTTAAGGCTTCGGTGCTCACTCGGATCTTCTACCTCTAGGCTTGAGCCCCTACGGTTTCATTATTTGCCTTAAGGCCTTAATTTGCTTCTTCTTGTTGTCTTATAACCTGTTTGGTGTAGTTTTGTTTAGCTTCCTCATCTGACTCACTCTTTTGGGTAGCGTGTATATGTAACCCCTCTTATTTCTCAGTCTTTAGCCGTCAGACCCTATCCCTTAGTGGTTATGGCTCTGTTTCATATTTAGCCTGTCTTAGGTCATTTTTTGTTGGTTCTCATCCAAGACGGACTCCTGGGGGTGGTTCTTAATTTTATTATTGCCGAGATATGCTCGCTGGCTCTGATCCGTAATTTTCCTGTTTCAATGGCTACTCCTCCGTTTTTACTTCTTGAATGTGATCCTGACGACTGAATTGATCCTGGATAATGCCTCTGGTTTTGTCTCCGACAGATTTCTTCAAGCCTTTTTTTTCTGTACGCCCCATGAGGATGGATCCTCGGGTTACTGTTTATTGGTTGGGGAGGATCCTTTAGGGAGGTGTCAGAACCGTTCTTACGTATCAAAATTAATCTGCCTGTATAATTCCCTGATTTTAGTTTCTACTAAAAAATAACTATCAATACAGTAAGTGAGGTAGCCTGTATATCTACATATGTATGCATTTCTGGAGGAATTAGAAATAATTTCTCTATTTTTTAATGAGATTACAGCTACTGATTCCTAATAAGCCACATAATATCTCTAATATCTTAAAAAAACAAAATAAAATAAAAGGAGCACATAAGCTAATTCGAATTCGTCAATAGTAGCCCTTGAAATAATCATGGAGGATTGTTGTCATCACTGGAAAACAATCATATATATGTCGTTCCCGTAAAGGGTTTTGTATCATGTACTGAATCCTACTAGACATTTCCTTTATCATGTTTTCGATTGGATTTTGATTTGGAGCTGTTCTTGTATTTAACATGACTATTGTTTGAATGCTTTCGTGCTATTAAGACTGGGTCACTTTTAATTAAATATTATCTACAAATATAATAATATGTCTTCTGTAGTCATCGATTTAGTGGTCCCTTCCTCCCCCTTGATTTGTGTATGGCCTGTTTATGAAATTAAACCCATTTCTCCCTATCAATCGAGGTCATATGATAATGTATACATAATGGGAAAAGGAATATGCATCAAGATTATTTCATATATACAGGAAGGTTAAAGTTGTTTCCGGGTAAAGAGGGTAAAAACGCATCTGGGGTGCAGAGAAATGAATAATGGAATTCTTCTGTCTCTATCTATTTCGCCCTTAGACCCCTATAGATATTATATATATTTATATATATACGGATCGTCCACTGTTCTTAAGGCTGCTTCTTGGAGAGGAAGTCATCTGTGTCATGTCTTGTCCTTAGAAGGCTGTCATCACATGGCTGTCTGTCGAACCTCTCCGCACTGATTTCGCCGATAGCTAGGTGGACTCCTCTTGCTTATATTGGTCAGTTACTGAATTAACCTATTAAATCCTCCATATAAGATAAAGGCGAGATGGGTGATATCACGAAACTTTTATTCACATCATAATATTAAGTGTCTCCAACAGAACAAATCCAGAAGCGAAAGAGAAATAATTCGTTTAGATAAAAATACACTATGACTTGATATGTCTGATCTCCGCCGTCCTGCAAAGGAAAGAAAAAAACATATACGGCTTAGATATGCGTCATTAACATATAAATAGTTATTTACTGCAGTAATTAATGTATAATTAAGGAAGACACAAAAGGAACAAGTTTTCGGTGGTCAAGATTTTCTCATACAATGAACGGGCAAGGAATGATGCGCCTGAAGGGATTATATAGTGAGAAGTACAGTTGAATACACGATATGCATAGTGGCACATTGGCAGTACAGTATGTGACACTCAACTTCGGAATATCTAGAAACAGGTATCCGCAAATTGTCGGCCTTTTGTGTTCTATTATCCTTTGGCGCGCCCTATTCAGAAATAGGAGTTCCCCTTCAGCTCAGAGAATTTCCCCTGTTTTCTTCTTCAACCTAAGTTGAGGACCGTTCTCATAAATTATTCACCTAATTTCATTTCATCAAACCCAGATAAAACGCCATCATTAGATTCAGAATGGGTGGAACTTACATTCTTATTTGAGTCTTCTCCTCTCAGACATCCATCTTCAGTTAACTCCGAGAAGATGCTGTCCTTTATTAGGGGCATTATCTTCTTCTCCAGGGGGTTATTTCCTGCGACAAATTTTTTAAAAAAGTCTGGAAGGACAGATGGTGTACACATTAGTCATATGTATCTTATTTATATTTCATATGTATAGACTGCTTTCTCCATATAAACATCCAAAAAAAAGGTACATTTGATCCAGGGTAAGAACAAAATAAGAAATTTGGAGAGGCTTCGTATTATTTCTTCAAGAAATCTCTACTCCATATAGCTTCCTATTAGCAACATATAAGTGTCGACAACGAGAAGTTAAACTGAGCAGGAGCTAAAAAAGGATCTTCGGAAGTTAAGGCCATGTGGGGTCCCCTCCCCGGCTTCTGGGGTGGGAGAACGTGTTCCGGTCCTCCTTTTATTCCTAGGGGAGCATTCATCAGCCAAAGCGGAAGTGGATTCGCTGAGAAAAGCCATAGTAGTTTAATTTAATTCCTGTGGTTCATATAAGTATACATAAAAAAGTGTTATTACGTGCGCGAATATTGTCTTAAATATATAACTGAGTTGGGTCTTGTTATTTTATCATAAACTGCGTTAAAATACGTTGAAAGATTTTAACCTACCTTCAAATACGGTGTAGTAGGTTCTAAACTGTTAAAATATGTAGTAAAGAGTACTTCTTAAATAAGGTTGACAAATCCGAAATTTTTAACAAAAGCAGAAGCTTTTACATAAATAAATTAAGACATTATAGAATATATCTTTACCCAATAATAAAAAAAAAAAAAAAGAAACGACATCATAGAAAATGTATAAAATTTATTTCTTCGATCACAGTGCACACCGTTCGAGATATTTATGAGACAAAACAGTGTGTATGTCTTGTTTTTAAGCAAAATGACATGTTCACCAATTATATAAAGGCGCCTTCCTTCCTACAATATATTTCTGCGGCCAATTCTGTTTGCTAAAATCTGCAAAATAGGGCATATAAACGAGTCAGCAAATATTCTTTCGTACATTTGAGGCTAGAAGCCTCTGAAAAATAACGTCTTTACAAAGGCGGCATCTATATTATAGCACCACCTATTCCTTTGGTCAGGCTTACATTTGATACCTATACAAATGGAAGTACTATTTATGCATTCCAATTAAGAAAGAATGAGACCCTTCTTGTATTAGGCATGGTAAAATACCAAAGAAGCGAAGCTATCTTCTTATGTGATCCTCCTGCTGTTGAACGATAGTGAACAGGATGCAGATGACCTCTAATTTAAATCTGGAAGATTTAAAAGAAGGTATTAAATATATGTATTATTCAGAGGTGTTACTGCAGAGCAGGACCAGCGACCGTTTAGATCGAACTTTACTATCATGGACAGTCTTCATTTTTTTTTTCCTTCTTTTTTGGGAAAATCCTATCACGTTTGGCTCGTCTAATCTCAGCCCTCTACAAGCATTAAGGTGAAGTGAAGATTGAAAGCCTTGTTGCAGTGCTTCGGTAATTGAAACTGCCAAGTGTGCAAGACGGAAGCGGAAACACACGTAGCGCCATCGGGGGGATTTTGTTTACAAGGAGCCCTTTGTGACTGAATGGAGAAGTCATGAGAAACCTGTCGGAGGCTTCTTTCTGCCTCACGCGTGTGTTATCACTCGCAGAAATAGACAGCTATGAGCATAAATAATTATTATTGCTGCAGGAGAGTGCGGCATTCAGTGAAATAAGCGACATAATGCGAACTAATGTGGGCCTTAATGATTACCACACCTGTATCTCCAGTGGCGAAGTGTCCGCTGATGTAGAGAGAAATTCCAGGGGGGATTCATTCTCACACACCAGGAGAAGAGGAGACTACCATAAGTACCAACACCACTAGGACGATCACTCTAAAAAAAACACAAGAACACTTGTCCATGTCGTTAAAATAGTAATTGGTTCCTAAATTACACAAACTGCTGTTCTTGTTGTGACTTCTCCCATAAAACAAATTATGAAATCTTGTTCTTCATGAAACTACTTCTCTGTAAATAGGTAGCTAAAACGAAAACAGTGGAAAACTAAAATGGAGCCCCCCGGGGAACCATTGTTTAGGTAAGGATGGCCAAAATTCTACGCAGACAGGCAGGAAAAAAAAGAGAAAAAAATCATGAGTCTGGAGCTATTATCGCAAGGTGATCCATTAAAGCGAGAGAGTGCAGCTTATGGTTATAATATATATATAGAAAAAGATACAAAAAAGGAAGCTACATCCATGCGTGCCTTTATTTATTTATTTTCCAATTTCTTCATGACAAGAGAATATCGATAATACGATTAAGTCATGGGAAACACTATGCTTCCGGGGTTTATTAACCATTTATGACCAAAAAATGTGGCAGTCCTATGGCGTGAGAGGGAAAATATTTTAACGCAAAAAAGGAAGCAAAACGTGAAGCACAAAGAAATTTTTCTGATAGCCCAAGTGCGATGAAAACGCTCTGGAATTGTAATTATGTCAAAAAGCAGAGTAGTATACTAATGCACAGGTAGGGAATGTGTTAAAGTGTTTTAATTAGTACTAACAGGAAAGCGTCATTAAGTGGATTACCGGTTAAGCACTTGGGCCACCTAACCCCCACAAGAAGCCGATGTGGAATCAACAGTCTCTGAGCGTGAACGACATAAGCGGTCACTTTTACATTCTTAGTGGTTCCGTCCTGTTTTTCCATGCGGTGGAGGTTCCGATGGGTAAAAAATTCCGCGCAGTAGCATCGGTCCTTTGTATTGTTTTCCTATCTCTGTGTACTCCCTCGAAGTTTGCTCACCCCTCCTCTAGCTCTCGGCGTATGCCTGTCAACTTGGAGGTGTCTACTTCACGAAATTATTCCCATTCTGCTAATAAATAGAGATGATAAATTTTTTTCTCATTTAGAAATCTTTTGCTTCCGTCCAGTTCTTCAGAAGAAAAAGAGGAAGAATCATCTATATAAGTTGAGTGATCATCTCTGTGCATATTGTCCATTATTTGGAGTGACCACATGCAAATAATCCCTGGGAAATTTTGCATAACCCCATTGTCGTTATAAAATTCGGACCTTCCTCTAGTCTGCATCTATCTGTCTATGTATCGACTGCTCTCACCTGTTCCTAATCTTCTAGTTATAAATTTGATCAATCTATCTGTCGGGTATTTTCTAAAATTGGGTTTACCAAAATTGAGGACATAGTATTGAATTATCCCATTAAATCTGTGCAGCACCCAAATGTTATTTACACATATGTACACGATATTATGAAGAAAGAGCATATAGATTCTCATAAAGTGAAGAAGGAATCCAGTTCCTAGGATTCCAATAACCACTGTTGTGAAAGTCTCCTTCACAATTCATTTCACTTTTTGGTTCTTTTCTTAAATGAAGGGACATATCCCTTTGGGCATATGATCTCCTCTTTATTTTGTTCCTAATTTTTTTTTAAGAAACTCTCAAGGAATATACATCTCTAGTTTTAACCGACAGGTTGGAAGTTATGGAAGCGGCTAGGAGTCTCATGGGTTTTCCGACTTATGCGCAGTGTAGCTTATCTTAAATAAATTGAAACTCATTTGGCTTCCTAATGACAGGGACAAATCTTCTGGAGGAATAGGTCAAATTGATGCCTATGTATTTTCTGTTAAGGTGCGTAATCTCTCTGACAGCTGATTAATAGTTAGAGATCGTTCTCGCTTTTATCGCTTTTACCGCTTTATCGTTTTTATCCTTCGATGCTCATATATCATATATAAATTGTTTAGCTTCAATAAAGAAGAAATTTCGAAACATAACAGGATCATATTTTCGAAGATGAACCTTTTTCTATATTCCATCTGTGTTATCGTCCTCTCTTTGGTATAGGGGGGTATGAAGCTATTCTTTATGGGGTGTAGAATAATGTCATAATAGGCATATGCTGCGTTGCAAAATTCCCTTTGTTGCATTACTAAGCTAATCATTTCTACAGAGCCATATTCTTCTTTTATCCAGGACATCCGAATCGTTTCTGATCTGCACGGTAAACATCGTCTTGTCCAAATTTTTCGAAGAGAAGGAGTTCTTTATTGCTTCCTCCCGTTGCATTTTGCTTATTTTGGAGTAATTGTCTTGTACGTTGAAGAGGAAGATGTTTTCCTGACCATGCACATGGGGGAGAAGGGGAAAGACACCAAAAGGAAAATGGTGAAGTATTGAGGTGTGTCTATAATTTCACGTAGCAGACTGCAGAAGTGGCCAGATTTGACAAAGGGTAAATACACTGATCCGGTGAGACCGATCATTTTTCTATATTTTTTCCTCTAGGCTCATGGTCTAAATGATCCCCTCCCCCTTCCCAAAAACAAGTGAACATATAAGCATATATGTGTACACCTGTGCACCCCTACGGAAAGGCCTCCTTAACCATTACGTAGTTCTTCTTCTTGGTGTTAGAGCTTCTTTCAATTTTCTTGAAGAGGAGATACAATGACTGCAAAAAAGTGATGTTTGTGAAGACGTTTTTGTTGACCTCATATTTGGGGAAGAGCCCGTCCGCAATCTCCTTAAAATATCTGTCATTCATCATGGATCCATAGATAACGCCATTCCTGTAAAAGTTCAAAGCATTCTTCGCAAAAAGGAGTGCACATAGTTCGGGCGTCCCATCAGGGATGGATTTCATATTTAGAGTAAACGCGAGGTATTTCTTAATGTTGAAAATGTTTTCAAGAAATATGATGCTCCTGTAATTCTTGGAGTGCATTCCGTAGTAGTCTCTTATTAGCACTATTCTTCTATTTACGTTATAGAGACAAAAATTGTTAAATAAAATTTTTACTTATTTATTCTCAAAATACGATCTGTCTGATTTCATAATGTATCTCTTTTTGAAGCACATTTAATTTTTCATACTTCTGGAGTGAGGACTTCCCCTTTTGATATTTTTCCTCATTCGATCTCTTGCAAATTCGTCGTTGTGATTTAAAAAATACGGAATCTTGTAGTTGAACTTCTTTCGGGGGGGGGGGCTTCTCAGGTAATTGAAAAAGTCTAGCTGCAGGTAGGTGAATTCAGATGGATCCACGGATAATGAGCTCCTTTTCACATTCTCGACATTCTTTCTCCTGAGTAAGTTTTCGAACTTTGAAGGGGAAGAGAAACGAGATAAGGCAGTTTTCTTTGCGCAAGGGGTAAAATCAAGCCGTTCTGATTTTTGCGTTGCCGTCATCATCACCACAACGCGACAAACGAACATAAGGAATAGACGAATGGTTTCGCACCCTACTTTTTATTAATCTGATGGGGAACTCCCTCCTGACATATAATGCGTACTCGATTTTCAAGGAAGAGGGGAAACGAATAACTGGTGGTGATTGTGCTGTAGAAGATGTTTTCCTTCTTCTGGCTCCACTACATGGTTTTCGCTATGTTCTTCTTGGCAATGCTTATACGATAAGCTGGTGCAGGCAAAAACAGGATGATTCGCGGATGAGTTCGTTGCCCTCTATTTTGGTGAAGAAACAAGGTGGCTTCACATTCTGGTGAGAGGGGGGTAGGATCGTGACTCAAGCGTCGACATGTGGAAAAAGGAGAAAAATAAAGGATAGTGTGCCGTGTTAAATATGCACCACTGCAGAAGTGGAATGCTACACCTTCACAACCTAGACGTACAAAAACATAATCACCCAATTTACAGACGCCAGAATCCTAACATCTATCATATGGAAGCCAACCTAATTCTACATTAAAATTCCGTAGCTCCTGGATATTTTATCGAATTTGTCCATAAAGCAAATCTCATCGTTGCGGGGGAAAGGAAAGATAAATCATTGTGAATGGTGTACATCAGAGGTGAAGTAACATAATATGCCAGATGTGTACTACGTGGCCTATGGATCCACTCCTTCTAAATTCATTAATGCGCTGTATGATTTGCTCAATATGTTTCTCATTATATTTGCTTGAAAGGTGTCCTTAAAATTTGTCCTCATTGTGAAATATTGCATTTATTTGCATGAGGGATTTTTTTAAATCTTATATTTATTTATGCAAAATGATTGTGGTTAAAATAATTATTATTATTCTTAGCGCCTGTAGGATTATAATTACGATTATGATTTTTTCTTTTACTAATTCTGAATTTTCCAGAGTGCCAAATTTGATAAGTAGCTCCTTTGCGATATGCTGATATTTAATTAAGTCGTCCACATTGACGTTGGAGTTCGACATGAAGTATTTATCTTTACTCTTGTTCGCTCCTTCTCATGTGTCACTACTCTTTGAGTGTACCTTCACAATTTTGAAATTACAAATAGATTCCAAGTGGGACATATTTTCTTGTGTTAAAATGGACACTTTTAATTGGTCAACATGGAAGGAGGATATATTATTTTTATCTTCAACACCTTTAAATTGAGATATAATTCTTTGTGATCAGGCATGTATATTAATCATTCTATGTTTATTCTTTTGTTGCGAAAACAGATTAAATGTTCTATAAGAATTAATATCACTCATTTGACGTGCAGTTACATACTCAGTTGTGATACCTTTTTTTTTTTTCTTCTTTTTCTTCATAATGCCGTGACGAACACTTGCACATTTCGCCGACATCAAAAAATGTGTATTTAATACACTTTCGATAAACACACAGGAAAGCATTTTTCATAATAGTTAATTTTTTTCCTTTTAAATTCAGTTTTTAAATTTTTGATAACAAAAAAGAATGAGCACATACATGTGTAAGTATGTATATACACCAAGTACAATTTGCATGTTCATCTTTGCATCCACATCCTGATGCAAACTAGGGGGACATTGAACTAAGTTAATTCTATGATTGACAATTTTGAGGGGAATTAAGTAAAAACCATACGCATACAAAATACGATAAATGAAGCTAACGCAGATATATCTACAGTGGAGGGGAAATATATTTTATAATCTCCAAATATATGGAATTTCGAAAGATTTCCTTTTTTTTATTTTCAATGCGTTCGGAATAGGGATGTGGATATGGGGGTTTACCTTCCATCGAGAGTATACACGCACACGGTGTGTATAACCCCTATACGCATACATATGTGAACATGTTACATTTTCATATAAGCTTATATTGGAAACATTATTAACATTATCACTAGTAAGTTCTGGTACTTCAGATTTCACAGTGGCTGTTTTTGCTGACAGCAGGAACTACCTTTATTGGGGGATGCACACATTTTTTTACACTTATTGGGGCGAAATCGATAGGAAAAAATTATGTACATAAAGAGGCGCCTGTTATGTATGCGTGGGTTACAAGTGGTTCCCTGGAGTCCAAGCCGCTTGTGCGTGTTTCAAGTGATGTCGCAGGGTACCGAGGCGTCCGTGAAGAAGCTGCTCGAAATCGATGAATTCTTAGGGAGTAACAAGATCTAGGGGGGTTGGCTGCGAGTTCGCCTAAACGTGCCCCTAAAAGGAGAACGACCCCGAAGACTTTGACTACCATTTCGCAAGAGGTAACCTGGGAAGTACACGTAACAGGATGAATACTTACCAAGGGTTAGGAATAGTTATTTACAAAACGGCATACACCGCTGGACGTTAATGGAGTGATAGGAAAATCTTGGGAAAAAATAATAAGGGGAGGAGAATCACAACAATGGTTACTACGGTGCTTAGCAGTAAGGCATCCTTAGTTTGCTCCAGCATCTGCCACAATAATGGGTAAGGAATATTTATCGCTTTCCTGGAAAATACACATTGAACAAATTGTACACTGCACATATTGCACACTGTAGATTGTCCGTGAACCTGGCTATCCCTTCTTTAGGAAAAGGCACAGAACGGCTTCTTGTTGATGACTTTGCAATTTATTTCATTGCCCCCGTCCTCCTCCTGGCTATGAGAAAGAACCTGAATTTCATTATTTCGCCCATGTACGGGTGCGTCGCGTCTCAATAGTTGTTTCTCGTCTTGGTCCGTCATGGCAAATTTGCCCTCATCTTGGCCCGTGCTATTATAATTCATCACGACACTGCTTAATATCTTGGACGAAGTGCTATTCTCCTCTATTTGGGTTGATTTGCTTCTTTCATTTTCATCAAAACTGGGGATACTCGAGGTCGCAAGTTGGTGTCTTAATTTTGCCTTTTCATTAGGTATAGCAACTTTAAGGAAGTTTCTCGGTTTTACGGGGATTAATACTTCTTTTCGTCTTGTCTGTTCTTCAATTTCCATTTTTCCTGATTGTTTTTTCCCGGTAAAGAGGGAAGAGAAGTCCTTCCCCTCTTCATAATATACTTGGCTTTCTTGACAGAAATTATGTTCATCGCTGTAGTTTTCGTAGTTACTATTGTCAACACTTCTGTCATGGTTATTGCGACTTTTGTTTGGCTTCTGATTCTGGGGGTGATATACGGCTTCACGGTGTTCTCCTTCCCTTTCGTATTTTTCCTCGTTTGTTAGGTCATCCTGCTCCTGCTCCTGATTTTGGTTGTCCTCGTCTTCCTCATCTTCCATTTGGTCCTGTTCCACTTCTTCCCTCTCGTCGTATTTATACTTCCCTGGGTGCTCACAGTACTGATGATAATCTCCATTCTCTTCTGAGTTCACGACTTCGTCGTTGAATCCATGGCTACACATTTTGTCATAATTTTTCATTTCGAGCATTTGGTACTGTGGCGCATTTTTCATGAAGTTCTTACTATTTGCATTATTGTATGTAATGTGGGGAATGTTCTCATTGTGGAGGATATAACGCTCGGTGTTGGTGGACGAATCAGGGATGTTCCCCGGGTTTATCTTCTTAGATTTCGATTTTCCCTGTAACGAATTTCTTCCTTGATACAGATTGGCGTATTTGAGTTTGGTTGCCTCTCGCTCCATTCCGTTATGGGTTTGATTATTTTTGTAGGTAGAACCATACTCAGGTTCGCTATTGTAGTGTCCTTCTTCGTCGTCCCCCTCTTGTTCATCCTCATCTTCTTCGTCCTCTTCGTCTTCGTCTTCCCACTCTTCTTCATCCTCCCCCTCTTCGTCGTCCTCTGCGTCTTCGTCTTCTTCATTGTATTGGTGTTCCTCCTCCTCGTCTTCTTCCGCCTCGCTTTTGCATAACTCTTCGTCGAATTGCCCCATTAGCGCATCGTTGTGCTGGCTTTTTAAATTGTCCTGCGCGCTGTTGTGCTTGCTGGACGAATTTATGGTTCTCTCTGTGTGCTGATTCGCGCCGCTATAATTTTCGTTGTGATAATTAGCCTTACTGTACTCATGGCCCTCATGATTGGCGTTGTCTCTGAACCTGATGCTGTTGAAGGAGTAGGATCTATCCTTGACGTGCATTTCTTCCTCTTCTAGTCCTACCATATTGAGCCAAGGGTGCTGAAGCATAGTGTAGGCCGAGGGTCTCTTCTGAGGATCCAGGGCAAGCATAGGCAGTAAAAAGCTACACAACGGATTAATTTCCTTCTCTGGTATGTTGTACTTGTATTTAAATATTCTGTACAATCCGTACCTCTTAATATTTTTTATATTCCTCAGTTTATACGTATTTTTATTAAAATATTTATGAGAATTGAACCCTGTGTCGATCATATATTTTGGAATGTTCCCCAACACTTCGATCATAAAACTTAAGTGTTCCTCATTTTTATCATATCTATCTGATTTTTGCGGATTAAATAGGAAGTCTCCAGTTACTAGTTCGAATATCATACATGCAAACGACCATATGTCGGCAGTTTCATTAAAACCGCTTTTTAGGATAACCTCTGGGGATCTATATTGCCTTGTTTGTATTTCTGCATACCTTGATTCATCAACCCAGAGACTATTTCCTAAATCACAGATTTTGTAACATGACTTTTCATGGTAGTAAACAGTTGGATCGTAGGGTCTAATACGATAGTCCCCCTCCTGTGTTTTGATGTAAACAACTTTATGGCCGCTTCTGTTATTCTCCTGGGTGTCATCCTTACATGCTTTTCCATATTTTCCTTTTTTTTTCTCCTTATACTTGTCGTGTATTTTCATGGCTTCTGGATGCATTAGCTGACTGAACATCTCGCAGTAGATGGGGATTCTGTTAAAATCCTTTGCTAGGAATGCTACGGATTTCCCGCCGTCACTCCCATCGCTTTTTTGCGTCTGTTTTTCCTGGTGGTTTTCATCATGTTGGCTGTCTCGCTCGTCCTCAAAGTCCTTATCCCGGTCACTATCCTCCAAAGGGTTTTTCCTCAAATAGTCGCTGGGCAAGCGATGAAAAAATAGGGAACACTTGTCATCTCCGTACTTTTCCGGATTATACAAGAAATAATTGTTATAATGGTAGGGCCTCCTCATTAGCGACTCCTGGAGGGCATGTATGTTTTTGTAACTTGTGAGCAGGGACGGATCGGAGTTGGACGGCCTAAGTCTATGTCTAACATATGGAGGTACATTAGTCGTTTTTTTTTTATTTAATTTTGGCCTCCCCACATTGGGTGCATTATCCTTCCGGTCATCGCCGACGTTGACGTCCGCTGTCCAAGCTGGGTCATTTGCATCTGACATCTGTGGGTTGGAACTGCAACAGTCTTTATTGTTCTTCCTGTCAAGGGCTAATTGCTTCCTTACATTATTCTGTTCACCATTTTTATCATTATCTCTTGGTGTGCACCTGCTATTTCGGGTTAGTACTTCCCCTGAGGCGGTAGCCTTGATGGAGCTATTGCTTTTCATGCCACTGATGGGGAAGTTTGGGTTTACTATTGTATTACTATCGACATTGTTGTGATTGCCCCTGTTCAATTCTTCATCTTTTGACACATGTTCCGCGTTTATCTGGAATGCACTGTTGGAATGTTCGTTATCTTCCTTCTTAAAATGGCTGTTGTCCTCTGATGTTCCACTAGCCCCTGTTAATGTCGCAACTTGCGTCTGGGCGTCTCCCTGTTTGTCGCGATTTCCATTTTGGTGTAAATTGCCTACAGTCACCTGATCAACGGCTTGCTTCTCCTTCTTTTGCGCTTCCACTTTTAATCGTTCCTTTTTTAAGAATTTTTTTTTTTTTTTTCTTAATTTCCTCTTTTCCTGTTTGGTTAATTTGTTAAAGTCTACATTGTCCCATTCGTGTTTATCTTTCACCTCGCTCAGGCACGATGACTGGTCTTCTTCCCCGTCGTCATTATTGTCAGTACCTTCAGAATGGCCACCCGGCCCCTGGTTTGCTACTTCGTTTTCTCCTTTTTTAACAAGTTCATTTTGCTGATCATCAACTTTGCTATAGTCCCTTGGTCTCGGAATATTCGACAGGGGAGATACTAAAACGTTTTCCGGCTTTATATCGCTATGTATAATTTTACAAACATCGTGTAAATACTGTAGCCCTATTAGGACATGTGTGGCAATTTTCCGAACTAAGTTTAATGGTATCCCCTTATAATCATAGTGTTTAATCAGGGATAATAAATTTGGTCCCATAAATTCAAACACCATGCAGACATGGATACCATTTGGCCCCTTATGCTCAAAGCTATCAATAAAGGAAACAACTCCCTTTGTCATATTATAATGAAAGAGCCTTTCTCTTTGATGTTCTTTTAATTCTACCCAAGAAGAATCAAAAGAATTTGCCTTAACCGTTTTTAAATAATTGATTTCACATTTAGCTGACTCTGCAAATGATTCGGACCCTTTCTGAATTTTGATGGCAACAAATTTTAATGGTTTACTTTTTAAGTCTGTAGCAACCCAAACAGTTGAGAAATGACCCCATCCTAATTTCCCTTCTATTCTATACCGGTTGTTATATACTTCATTAATCTTCACAGGGTGGTATCCACCCTTGCAATATTCGTCACTTCCCTCATCGTCACTTTCTGTGTATTGTAGTTTTCCCGACGTTGCATCCTGACTACTGCTGTTGTTTGATTGGGACCCTGAATCGCTGTAACTCATTTTTTCGCATCTATCTGGATGAGTACCTGATTTCCGTAGGTCCTCTTTCTTCCTCCGTTCCCTTTCCTTTGTTTGAACACATGCAAACCAATATGCAATTATGCAGGTGTATATTACGTATACACCAGTGTGTAAACGTATGATAGAAAAAGGATAACTAAAAGGTGGGTGGGGGTTACAGTTTGGACCTCTTTGATCCACGTGGCACTACAATTCTACAAATTAAATGTAGAGAAGATTTTAACCTATTTCTACAGACGAATTGTTATTCGTTCGTAGGGGAGGTGGAGTCACGAAAAGAGGGTAGAAAAAAAAGAAGGAAAAAATATAATTTTTTGTGCCTTCTCCTTAAATTTTCCTTTGAAATTATGTGCACAGATCTAGCAGCATAAAATATAATTAGTGCTACGCACAGATATATGCGGTGAAGGTATGGAATACATGCACGAAGGTATTATCGCATGTATATACATTCTTACGCGTAGGTTTCTGTCATATACTCCGGACACACTTTCAAAAGTAGAAAAGAACGTCCATTTTTCCGTGAACACAACGATTGTACCATGATGATATTAACGAATAGATAAAGGGAAAAATGATATAAGACAAGTGCGACTTAAATCATTCTGGCAGAGTACTGCAACAAATGAGTAGGACATAACGAAATTGGCTTCCCCATTCGGGGGGTATACATAAGAGTATATGTACAAATACGTATGTACAAGTTCATATGTACATATACATTTACGTACGTACATGCTTATATGTATCTATATACGTACGCACAGATTTATATGCATATATACGCATATGCATACAGTCTATCACTAAATCCTGAATGGAAAAAATGTATTACGTAGTCTCTTCATTATTGAGGCGTCCGAAGTAACGAATATGGGCGGGGAGCACTTGGCCACAAAAATATGGGCACGTGGTCATTCAACGATAATATAACGCTTTAAGAGATGTAAAAAAAGGGGCTAATGAAAATGCATAAGAAGTCTTGCGCAGTTATTCCTCATTCGTCCACAATAAAATGTAAAATAAAACGCTATTGTGGGGGGAAAAATGGAGAAAATGAAAAATTGTGCCTAATGGGTCAGCACATGGGAAATAAGGCATTTCATTGACACTTTGTATATACATATAAACATATATATGTATATATATACATATATACTTAAGTACACTATGCCTCTGGTATTGTACAAATGCATATTTCATCAAAATGAGAAATTAAACCATGAGATAAAAGCAACGACAGTCATGCAAGCAGACTGAATGCATATAAATTGTTAAGAAAAAAAATCTTTTCTTCTGATATTTTAAAAATACGATTGGAATATCTCATGGTTTGCATAAAACTGGTAGGCTCATTTCTGTGTTCGGAAGGTAACCAATTAAATGACGAGATCATTAATCGTTTGTCTTCTTAATTCGTGCTGATTAATTAAAATGGAGGATGTAACCACATTTATTCATGATTTTTTTTAATTCTCAAATTTGACAAATGAAATGAATTTTTTTTTTTTCCGCAATCCATGGGTAAGATTTTATCTACTTTTATTTATTATTTCTATTCACGAGAATTATCATTACCCTCTGTACGCAAATATAAGTAGAATATGTTATATATGTCATTAGCATATCTTATATATATTGGGGGAATTGGCTTTATGATAATTTAACACGGGGTTACATTCTCCCTGAAATTTTTTCGCGCTGATTTCCATTTGGCGAAAAGAAATTAAAAAGGCATTTTTGTAAATTCCCTATGCATTATGTTAACTATAATGTTTACCGCGTTGGTAAAAATGTGATTTAATGTATATGGCTGGTTAAAACTTTCTCATTTTTGCTGACTTAATTTTTATATTATTGCTGAAATGAAACAAGTAAAAAAAGAAAAAAGGGCTCTTAATTCTTGAGCTTATTTTATGTACAAGGAAGCCGAAATGATATTACAAATACGTCCTTTACGTTTTGCGCAATTGCCGAAACATTTTAAGATGGGCTATCAAATGGATATATATGAAAAGAACTCATAAGATGTCATCTCCTGTATTTTTAATGATAAACATAAATTATGTGTTTTTTCAAGGCAAATTCCATTCGCACGTATGAAATAAAAACAGGAAGGAAAAGGAAAAAAAGGTATATATTGTGAAGAAAGAAATAACGACGAGTTAAATGAAAACTGCGAATGAATGAAAAGGAAAAAAAAAATGGAAAGCGATCTTATAGGTATATAAATTGTATTATCCCAGTTACCTAGAAAAGAAGCGTACAATCAAGTAAATTCAAAATAATATTTTTTAATTGTTACAGAAAAGATTTCAGCAGGGAAAAAAGAGTTTTATACATTAACGTATGTATATAGTACATGTATATGTAGCAACAGAAAATCCCCATAAGAATTATTGGGTTCCAGCAGTAATTCCACACATACAATTTGGTGCTTCCCACGTCATAAGTATATTGCTCAAATGTTCGCCCCATATTCATTTAAGCCCTGTTTTCCTCTGTTTCTTTAATTACCATTCACAGGGCGTCCGTTCCGTGGCACATGGGCAGAATTGCATTATTCGCGAAACTGAAAACTTTCACCTCTTCTACTGTTCATGAGGATGCGTCAGCACTTGCATGTGTATTTATGCTGTGTAGTCATATGCACAAATTTTTCCGTAAAGACTGTCTTTAAGGAAGATGTGGCATACGGATGCTCATATTGGAACAATTAGCTTATATGTTTATCCTTACTGGCCAAGGAATGGCTCTCAAAAATATGAGGAGAGGTTGCCTTACTTAAAAATCAGCAGAAAATGTACTAGTATTTAATTCACAAAATGGTCGAACGCCCTTTTAACTGGCTACGAGTGTATCCCAATCGAATTTCGCCACATCGTGTACGCGGATGTATCTTCTCCCGGCCTGGAAGCGCTCGTGAAAGAATTGTAAAATTACATTTACGAGTAAGATAAGAACAAAAGGACGTGTGCACGTGTATGCATATGAATAGAAATCAAAATGTAAGTTCAATTAGGAATATGTGTATGTAAAGGAGAATTCGTAAACATACTTGTATCTGATTTGTGCCCTCCTCTGGCTCATCTGACGAAGCTACATGAGTGAGATTTAGACTCTCCTTTGTGCTTTTTACATTATGCAAATCGGACGAAATTGTCCATAGTTGGAACCAAAAGAATTAGTGGGAAAGGGAGAAGAGGATAAAATTGTGTGAAATCCTATGTATTCATTTTAAGATGCCCTGTAGGCCCCAACAAACATACATAAATATTTATTTATGTATATATAACATAAGCAGAGCACACGTTTCCTATAAGTGTCTGCTGAATTGTGACTAAGGAAATGTTGCAGGTTTAGTTGAGAATTTCCGCGGTTGCACCTGCTTTTACAGGTGAAAAGTCTACTTACGCCTGTTATATTCTATTATAAACACAGATTAAACATTTTCAAGACTTCTTCTTGTTTCCTTTTTTTTGGATTACCACAGAAGGACGTTTTTAGCTATTTAGAGAAATGGAGAAATTTCCTGATTTTAAATTACAATGTAACACGTTTTTACGTGTTCGTTCCGCGTAATTGGCCGTAGCACAAATACTGCCTCGTTTATTTTATCTATTTAGGAGTAATTGCCCACAATTTTTGCAAATGTACAGAGTGTGAAACTAGTTTTTTTTTTTATGTACTATATAAAAAAACTTTCACCTTCCCATTAGTCCTTCCCATTTTCCCCTTCAGTAAAGTGATTTTAAAAATTAAGTTAAAAATTTTACTGTTGTCAGTGTCAACCGCTTCGCAAAAGAGTGGTACCTTCCTTTGTAGTTCCTTTTTCAGTAGAGAACATCACGCGGTGTTGATTTGTATAATCAAATATTTTACACAATCACGTAAATTTTGTGGGGATTCCACTTGTAAAGCTACATAATTATGCTATTGTAGCATAAGAGAGGATTTTTTTTCTTCTATACTTTTCGTATCACGCGTTTTCTTCATTATCTTTGGATATTTTTACAATTCTTAAAAGGTAACCTGAGGTTAATTTCGAAAGATGGAAAAATAATTACAAATTAATCTTAAAGGTTTCTCTTTCTCGGAAAGGAAAAACATTTTTGTTCATATGAATTGAGGGCACTTTTTTTTTTACGTTTCGCATTTGGCCTTTTCTTAATTCTCACTTTTAATATACACCGTTCACCTGGCGTTTCTGCATTTCGGTGCCTCCCGTTGTTCCACTGGAAGAGGGGAAAGCATCAATGAGAACAAGAAGGGGATGCCACACGTGCCATGTCCACGTGCTCCTTTTTTATTATCAATTGATGTACTTTAAGATTCCACATATTTTGGAGAAAGAAAAAAACAGAAAAAAAATAAAGGCGCTGAATTTTCTTAATATATGTTATTCCTTTACATTTACGTCAGTTGCTTCATTATATGGCGTACTATATACGTGAGGTTATTCTCTGTTAAAACTGCTTTGCGCCTTTGACCTCAGCTCCACTCAATTCGACGTTATGCTTAATGTGAAGTTTTACCCTTGACAGGACTCCTCACATTGTAATATTGAATGGCAGTGAGAAGTAAATGACCCGCATTCGTTTTCTCTGATAGTAAGAGGAAGGTAAATATTACTAGATCTTGTTACCATTCCCATTCATAGCAGCATCATTAATTTGTGATGCGTTGGAACGAAGTCGTTTTTCACCCTGAGAAATAATAAAATTTATTTTAATAGGTAGAAATGAAAAATGCTTCCATAGACGCAGAACAGAGGACAGGTGACAATGGTAGTGGCGACAACAACGAAAATGACAATGTTAGCGAGAACGAAAGGGAAGCGAACATCCTAAAAAAAAGCTTATGCTTGTCTAAAAACATGTTCGTGGGAAATGACATACTAACGCCTTTTAATTATAGCCTCCTTGCATATGACACTAACATAAATGACAGAATTGTTAAGATCCAGCAGAATGAGGATA